GGTGATGAAAAGCGGATTCATTTTGAGAATCCCAAATGCACAAAATCATGGGTTGATCTAAGTCAACCATCAACATCGACTACAAGGCCAAATCACTTTGGAAAGAATTGGTGGGATCAGGAAGATGGGGTATATGATAAGCTTCTAAAACCAAGTGAAACCGTTAATGCTGATTGCTACCAACAACAAATAATCAATATGAACCATGCTTTGATCATGAAATGATCAGATTGTGCCAGAAAACACGACAAAGTAATTTTGCTTCATGATAATGAATCATCACACACTTCAAAACCAGTTAAAGACACTTTAAAAGATCTTGCCCAGAAAGTATTAACCCAACAACCATATACACCAGACCTTGCTCCTTCAGATGACCACTTGTTCCGCTCGCTGGCACACGCACTTTCTGAGCAGCACTTCAACACGTACGAAGAAATGGAAAATTGGGTCTCTGAATGGTTTGCCTCAAAACAAGAAAAGTTCTATTGGGACAGTATACACAAATTACCTGAAAGATGGAGGAAATGTGCAGCTAGTGATGAACATTACTTTGAATAAAGCATTTTTGATATTTCTCTTGAAATTATCATGTTTTCTTTGATTACAAAATCCACCATTATTACTTGGTACATATAGTAAGTAAAGCCTTAATTGTGGTTCCAAATAAAAACATAGCTATCCCTCTGTTGTTAGAAAATTAAGATGGCAACTCTATATACACATGACCATCTCTCTCCTCATTTCCTGAGAGAATCATTGTTGCCTCTGTGGCAGCAAATACTGTCCAGAAGTGAAGGCTACTGCCATCAGAATGATCAGGAATGCTGAATTGTCACAAAACACACAACCTGGGACTAATAATACGATTATCCTTCCTTTAGCTTTGAGTTTTTGCCTGTTGTGATAGCCTCGAGGTGAACACAATAGAGGGGCCCAGGGAATCCCCAAAAACATGAGATTATTTTTGCAGCCAATCACTTCAGCTACAAAATGAACAAAGAAACTACAGGACTGGGTCATTTGTGAATAATGTTCAGAAGAGGCAATTTTCATCCTATATACTGATGTCTCCTCCACTCACTATGAAAACAGTGTTTGTCCCAGTATTAGTTGCACTTCACAGTGTTACAACAAATGAAACCAGCCTGTGATATTTCACACAATATGGTTCAGGGCTCCTTTGCAGTATGTAAGACATACTATGAACAGAGAATATAATCCATATTGTTCACAGAAGCACAACAAAAGACTCTTCTTCCGGGTGATCACTGACCTAACCAATAATACAGGCACCAGGCTACAAAATTAGAACCAAAACTTCATGCAGATTTTCCTTAAAGGACTTGGTCAGCAATAGAAAATAAAGCAATATTGGACAAAGAGGGATTTTTGGCATTATTATGTGCCTTCCAAAGTGCATAGAGTTTGGGACCCCACCATATTGTTCCCCTCTCCATGCTGACAGATCACAACTATCCTTTCAAATCATCCCAGGCAGTGAATATAACCCACACAATTAAAGGTACAAAAGCAAAAAACACCTTTACTAAAAGATCATAAGCCAGAATAGAGAACAGCAAGCAGTTTGTAGGTTGGTGAATTAGGACATAAAACAACTCATCAGAGGATAATGTGAGAACAATGATAGAAGCAAAAAAAAGGACTCTTCTTCTGGGGGAACACTGACCTCACCAACATTCGAGGCACCAGGCTGCAAATTAGAACCACAAAGTTATGCAAACTTTATTTCTTTGCCTTGCTCAGTGGTATAAAATAAGCCATTACTGGACAAAGAGTGATTTTTCTGACATTATTATAGCTTTCCAAAGCACAGAAAGTTTGGGAGCCCACCATATCTGTTCATCTCGCCATGATAATAGATCACAACTTTTGTATCAAATCATCCAGACAGTGAAATTGAAAAACTAAAGCTATGAAAGAAAAAACATGTTTACTAAAGATCATAAACCAGAATAGAGGACAGTAAGCAATTTGCAGGTTGGTGAGTTAGAAAGTAAAACAATTCATAAAAGCATAATGTGAGACCCATAATGTCCCTGAAAGTGGTAGCACTCCTTAGCTGAGGATGGGTGGTCTGGACAAACTCTGAGTCAAATGCATTCCCTAGTCAGAAAGGAAGGAAGATTCTATCAAGAGCTTGAAGTAATTATAATGTTCCCAAGCACAAGTGAGGACACAGAATACATTTCCCCTGAGCACACAGGGGTTGTGACTGATGCACACTCTTCAGTTGAGCCAGGTGGTAGAGGTGAAATCTCTTCAACCACAAATGCTCACTGTGACACCAATCAGGTAGTAGGTCTGGGCATGTTAGCAAGTATAGTGCAGCTCCGTGAAGCCTCACTTGTACCTGAAACTGATGAGGAATATATCAGAGTGCATGTTTCTTTAAAAGGGGTTTAAATTCAGAAAAATAGGTCATAAAGAGTTATACTAAGTGAAAAAAAAATTCCCTGCACGTTTAACACTTCTCTCCAGTGTGAACTCTTGGTGTCTCATGAGCTGAGCCCTTCAAGGAAAGGACATCCCACATTCTCTACACTTGTACCACTTTTCTCCAGTGTGAACACTCTGGTGTTGTTTGAGGATAGACTTATCACTGAAGGATTTTCCACAATCATAGTACTCATATGGCTTGTCACCACTGTGAACTCTCAGGTGCCTTGTAAGGTTGGATTTATGGCTAAAAGATTTCCCACATTCAGAACATCCATATGGCTTCTCTCCAGTGTGAACTCTGAGGTGAACAGTGAGTTGACCCCTTCGACGAAAGGACACCCCACATTGTCTACACTCATATGGTTTTTCTCCAGTGTGAATTCTCAGGTGTGCAGTGAGGTGACCCCTTTGACGAAAGGACACCCCACATTGTCTACACTCATATGGTTTTTCTCCAGTGTGAACTCTCTCATGTTGTTTAAGGGTAGACTTATCATTGAAGGACTTCCCACAACCACAGCACTTATATGGCTTGTCGCCACTGTGAACTCGCAGGTGTCTAAGAAGATGAGATTTTTCGCTAAAAGACTTCCCACATTCAGTACACTCATATGGCTTCTCTCCAAAGTGAACTCCCAGGTGTTTAATAAGACTAGATGTTAGGCTAAAAGATTTCCCACATTCGGTACACTCATACATCTTCTCTCCAGTGTGAACTCTAAGATGTAGATTGAGGTGAGTCCATTGACGAAAAGATATACCACATTCTCTGCATTTATATGGCTTTTCTCCTGTGTGAACTTTGTTGTGTAGTTTGAGGGCAGACTTATTACTGAAGGATTGCTCATAATGTCTATACTCATATGGCTTCTCTCCAGTGTGAACTCTCAGGTGTTTAAGGAGTGCAGGTCTTTCTCTGAAGAACTTCCCACATTCACTAGACTCATACTGCTTTTCTCCAGTGTGAACTTTCTTATTTCGAATGACATTTAAGTGTTGTCTAAACACTTTCCTACATTTGTTACACTCATAAACCAGTTCTCCAGAACACACACCCAGATGTTGAACGACTTTCAGGTTGTGTTTGGCAGCATTTTCACATTCACCCCACTGGTGAAGACTATTTCCATCAAGAAATTGCTGTGAAACCTCACTGTCACAGTGTAGCTCCACAGTGTTGAGAGTGGCCTGGTGCTGGGGAAGCTCTGAGTTGTACTGCAAGTCTTCCCCAACCTCCCTGCTGGTGGAAGGCACCAACGATAAGAAGTTGGACCTACTCACAAAGGAGGCCCTGTCCATGGCTTGTTTCCAGGGCCCCTGACCACATTCATTCCTCTGCTGCTGGTGAGGGTTTGCACAGGAACAGGAGTTTCCAACACATGCGTCACTACAAAAGGCTTTCATCTCAAAGTCTGCTGCATGTGACCCAGTCAGGTCCAAAATACCTTTTAACACAGAGAAACACCATTTACACAGAGGGATCTTCTGGGTGCTTGGAGCTGTCTCAGAAGCTCTGACCTGCGACTCTCCTTTTATAGATACACTCTGAGCAGAACAGGCCTCATCACCATCGATTTTATGCCAACAACCTGAAAAGTGAGAAATGGTGAGGAAATGAATGTTGACTGTGGTGACAGGGGAAGTCCCATTACAAAAGTGTGTTACACATCACACGTTAGTTCCATGCAATTGTCAGAAAATAAGAGCTTTGCAGGAAGTGTTAATAAGAGGCTCTTGTAACTTCCTGGGCTAATGAAGATCACAACACAGGGAGGCCTCAGCAGAAATAAGACACAAACATTGTGAGCACCACATGGATGAAAATATGGATCTCTAGCTAATACTTCAACTAACAGCATTCAGCATGGCTTGTCTGCTGGGGACGGGGATGAGCTGAAAAGAGATTGGTTAGGTCTTACTCCACGTAAAATTCAATAAAGGAGTAGCTGGTTTCGAGGACTAATTAGCACATATGTGCACCTCATAACACATGTGCAAGTCAATGTTGCAGAATACTGCAGAGGCACCAGTGCAGAGGAACAGGTGAAAAAGAGGTGAGCAGTCAGCACTGGGCCAGAGCAACACAACTTGCTATCATATTCAGGGAAGAGAATATAACAAATAACTGACTGAATGTCTCACAAGAACAGGCCCTGGTTCATGTAAGTAAACATCATAACATGGCATAACGGACCTTTACGTAGAGAAAGCGGGCAGAAGTTGAAGCCATGCATATGGACACTGTCAGCCTCCCATGAAGTGTAAGTGCAAGCTGGGACCGATTAAACTCACTAGAAGATTCCTGACTTTCTGTTTCCTATACTTTTTGATGTAACAGGTGTTAGGGATGTTCGTGGAGCCCTTTGCTCAGGACTCTCCACCCAGGTCATCTCTGGCAGCCACAGCACATTTGACAAGACAGTGGGGAAAATTAGCAGAGGCCATTTTTTTCGCTGTGGGAGAGAGAAAGCTATGCCTGAGGAATAAAGCAACAGAGGTCATCACCTCAGGACACTGGGAGAAAGTGGTGATCTTACCTACAGATGACACAAGTGCAAACACTTTCAGCATTACATCGCAGTAGAGAAGTCTCTGAGCCTCATCAAGGAGCTCCCACTCCTCCTGAGAGAAGACAATGGCCACGTCCTCAAAGTTCATATCCTGTCATAATGGGGTCAGTACAGCCCAAGATCAGATTCACTCCTAAGATTCTAAGTCTGTCATACTCCCCACCCTCCACACCCATCCGCTCTGTCCACTCTACACATCAGAGAAAATACCAGGCATTCATCCCATGAAAGCCACTGTCTTCTTATATTCCTACTGACATTTTGTTTTCCCACTATAATAAAGGTATTTGAGCAGGTAAAAGATACCTGAGCTCTGGACCTCCCGTATATGCCTCACTGACTTTTATCAACAGATTGGGTATCAAAACCACAGGTTAAAGAGAGATGCTGGTGATAAAGATAGTGTGAGTGATTGGATACTGGTCTTGTCAGACAATACCCTCAGATTGTTTCTCAAAGACGCCAAATACATGGCATCACACTTCACCCTCTAGACCCCAACCGCAAGGTGCTGAGGCCATAACTTTGCACTACCTGTTGCACAGAGTTCTTTGAAACAACACTTCTCTCACACAGCTTCATTCCCAGAAGCACAACTGCAAATGTAAGGCAAATTTGCTGCGGCGAGGACACATTGTTTCCTAATCACCTTTTCCCCCCAAATTATAGTTCACCATCATCATAATCTCTTACCCCTTACCCATGCCAGTGGAGATTTTGAAGACTGGGTTGTATTAACCAGGGTGTCATCCCCATCAACAAAGGCAGGTGGTTAGTGAAATGGCACCTAAGCTCTGTACCTCGAGTAGAGCTCCAAAACATCCCACTTTACAGGCATTACCCTAAAATTCACCTTATTGAATCATCCAGACACCACCAGAAATGAACTCTCCCCTCATTCACTCTTATGTCAGCATCAGGGTCCTGTGGCCATCAATTCACATTCCCTTTTCAAGTGCACATCACTTTTTACCAAACTGGCTCACACCTGCATTCCCTCACCCCTGCCCCCATAGTACTCTCCTTGGCCTCTTTGTTATTACTAAGCATGTGTTGACCAGAGAATGCTTGCCAACATGTCTCACTGAACCTTCACTCAAGTCCCAGCCCCGATGGCCCTCTGCATCATGCTTAGTGAGTTTCACAGATGACCACTCAAGCCTCTAAGGCAGCCGTGGGCAAACTACGGCCCGAGGGCCGCATCCGGCCCGTTTGAAATGAATAAAACCAAAATAAAAAAAGACCGTACCCTTTTATGTAATGATGTTTACTTTGAATTTATATTAGTTCACACAAACACTCCATCCATGCTTTTGTTCCGGCCCTCCAGTCCAGTTTAAGAACCCATTGTGGCCCTCGAGTCAAAAAGTTTGCCCACCCCTGCTCTAAGCCAATGGTTCTCAACTTCCTGGCCCTTTAAATACAGTTCCTGCCGAAACCGGTTTGGCTCAGTGGATAGAGCGTCGGCCTGCGGACTGAAAGGTCCCAGGTTCGATTCCGGTCAAGGGCATGTACCTGGGTTGCGGGCACATCCCCAGTAGGAGATGTGCAGGAGGCAGCTGGTCGATGTTTCTCTCTCATCGATGTTTCTAACTCTCTATCTCTCTCCCTTCCTCTCTGTAAAAAATCAATAAAATATATCAAAAAAAAAATACAGTTCCTGAGGTTGTGACCCAGCCATAAAATTATTTTTGTTGCTACTTCATAACTGTAATGTTGCTACTGTTATGAATCGTAATGTAAATATCTGATATGCAGGATGGAGTTAGACGACCCCTGTGAAAGGGTTGTTTGACCGCCAAAGGGGTCATGACCCACAGGTTGAGAACCGCTGCTCTAAGCTAATCCACAATACTGACTGCAACTTCCCACAGCCAGGCCACACCAAAGGTCACAATTAATCCTGGTGAGTGTTTAGACAAGTTAATATGTATCAGCTCTAACTCATCATGTTTGAATAATTCTTTAGCCTCCAGGTAATCTCAGGTCCACTCATCTTTTAAAGGCCTTGACCACTGCAAAATGATTACCTATCCCCAAACTCTACGTGACAACTTCTCTCCCTCTGCTGTGTTGTGACACCCATCTCCCACAAACAGTGGCCCCAGCAGGAAAGCCAGTTCTCAGGCTCACACTGTCCCTTCTGAGCTAATACTACCATAATCAACCTGACCATGATTCCCTGTATTAAAGTAATCTACAGCCCTGGCTCATGTGTGTTAGTTGGTTGAGTAGAGACCCATGCACTGGTGAGGTCACATGCCTGGGTTGTATATATTTAAAAAATATACCTACTGGTCCCTGAATCAGCTAACTCTGCACAAAAAGCCTTTTCACATGCTGGAACCTATGCCCTGGAGAAGCGGCCGCCAACCTTTTGGACCTCATGGAGCACCACTGGTCCATGGACCACCAGTTGGGGACCACTGCTCCAAAAGTTTCCTTAAACCAGCAGTCACCAACCTTCCCGACCTCATAGACCACCAGTGGTCCAAGGACAAATCATTGGCGACCACTGCCCTGGACGACCTCCAACTCATTACACTAGTTTCCAGGAAGAAGGTTCACTTCACGAAGTCCTAGTTGTGGCTTTAGGAGTCTGGGCTTAGAGTCTGTTATACCCAGGTCCATGGGCTATAAGAGCAGCTGACAGTCTCAGGACAGTACTCTCGCAGAAGCCACAAGAGTGTGAAGCCCTGAAATAATCTTCACGAATCAGTACACCTAATTCATTCTGCATCTGCAGGAATTTGTGGAAATAAAATGGTCTGTTGAGAGCCTGGCAATCATCATCAGGATCTATGGGCCCAGAATGCTCAGTACCCTTGTCCAGTCAAGAGGCCAGGTGCCCTCCAGATGCCTGTATTATCTCTGAGCTCAGTCCTCAGTGCACACTCTTGCCTGTGACCTTATCATTTATAGGACTTCCCCTTCCTGTCCACAGCTGCTGTCCTCTGTCTTCTAGTGTGTTCTTCCTCTGAGCAATTTTAGGAAAAGTTAGAACCCTATCTCAGAAAATGTCCCTCCTTTTTTCACAACCATCTATGGCCCCAGCGTTCTGAGAATGAAAGTAAAACTTGTGCAAAACCACACCTCATCTCTTTGTTTGTTCCCTTTACACTGAAAACAGGCCTGGGTTTTCCTAATCTTCCCAGCTCAGCCCCTTCCCTGGCTCAGCCCCATCACCTTGTCCTTAGAAGTTGGCACTGCAGCCTCTGGCCCTCTTTCCCCCATCACACCCTGTGTCACCCAGGAGAGACTCACTGTTCTAGATGTGGCTTCCTGGGCTGCAGTAACTGAGAGGCACTAGTCACCAAGGCTGGAGGGTTAAATGGGGTCAGGCTGAGAGAAAGCTGTGAGCAGAGAGGAGTCTGGGAGACACGGAGGCTCCAATCCCGGCCTGTTGGTACACAGAAAGTCTCAGACACACCACTGCACAGCAAGGACGCTGCCTCCTAGGCCTCTTCCTACTGACGATCAGTGGGCTGAAGCCTGTGAGTCCTTGAAGAAACTGAAGGGGTCAAAATGCCTGCCAAGAGGAGGAAGGTTAAGTCCTGCCCTAACCAAATGCACTGACACAAAAATTGACCTTTAGCTCCACCCATGTTGGTACATTCCACCTGGGTAATGTAGTTTGCCCAAATGCCAAGGGGAGGGCTAGCATCCCAGCCAATGACATTGGTGAATAAAGGTAATGTGGTTCAACAAGTGGCCCTGGGGAAGGACAAGATGGGACTAGAGGCCTGGTTAGCTGGAACAGAGGGGCAGATCTACCAGGGAGAGGGTTGTGGGGAGAACTGGGAGAGATCCCCCAAGGAATATAGGCACAGGCAAAAATGGGAGACATCTGTAATACTATCAATGATAAAAAATATATATATTTTATTTTAAATAATATAGCCCAGCTGGTGTTACTCAATGGTTGAGCATTGACCTATGATCCATGAGGTCATGGTTCTATTCCAAGTCTGGGAACAAACATGGGTTGTAGGTTCAATTCTCAGTTGGGTGGGGATGGGGGCCTGCAGGAGGCAGCAAATCAGTGATTCTCTCTCATCATTGATGTATTTATCTCTCCCACTCCTTTCCTCTCTCTAATATTAATAAAAATATATTTTTTAAAGTATATACATATATGCATAGTCCATGGACATAGATAATAATGTGGTGAGGGCCTAGAAATGGTGTAGGCAGCATAGAGGTAAGCAAAGGGGGATGAGGATGGAGGAAATTGGGACTATTTGTAACAGAGTCGATAAAAATAAAGATAGTTTGCCCACATGGCATGGCTCAGTGGTTGGGCGTGGACCCATGAACCAAGATATCTCTGGTTCGATTCCAGGACAGGGCACATGACCAGGTTGGGGGCTCCATCCCTGCAGGAGGCACACCTGAGGCAGAGGATCAATGACTCTCTCTCATCATTGATGTTTCTCCCTCTCTCTCTAAAAAAATCAATAAAAAAAAGAATACTGTTAAGATTGATTTGACTCAACAACACTGAGGTGAATGAGGGCATCATATTTGGTTCCCAGTCCTCTAAGCAAAATCATGCCTTGATCTGTCTTTATAGAAGATGTCCCAGGCATAACTGTGTTTGGGAACAGGAAGTAGCCTGCAGTGGGTCTGCCTCAGCTTGGTCTGCAGTTTTTGAGTTCATTACTTCATGTTAGAAAAGATTGCACAACATGAGTTCAGAAGATTTTGAGGGTACATTAATTAAAGCTGGGGATCATGAAAGAAAAATTAGGCCTTATGATAGAACAAGCCACAGCAGAGAGATTATGTGTGGCTCCTTTGACTCTCTAGAAACATTGTGGGAAATAAATGAGCCAAAGTGAGGATGCTGTTAGCTCACTGGGCATTCAGAGAATAGGAGGTCTTGAGTGCAGATTCAGGGGGTTAGCCCAGGATGAGCTGCAACTGCTAGTTGCTACCCTGGTTACAGGTGAGTAGGATCCCTGAAAATCTTAGGAGAGCCCAGCTGTGGATCAGTGGTTGAGTGCTAACCTATGACCATGCAGGTCACTGATGGATTCCTGGTCAGGACACATGCTCAGGTGGATTAACCTTTAAAGTATGTCCACAGCTGCTCTCCTCTGTGTTCTAGTCTGTCCTTCCTCTGAGCAATGTTAGGAAAAGTTAGAATCCGGCCTCAGAAAATGTCCCTCCGTTTTCACAACCATCTATGGCCCCAGCGTTCTGAGAATGAAAGTAAACCTCCTCCTGCAAAAACCTCACCTCATCTCTCTGTTGCCTTTACACCCACAACAGGCCCGGGGTCCCGAGTCCTCCCTGCTCAGTCGCACCATCACGTCCTTACAAGGCGGCCCTGCAGCCTTTCACCCTCTTCCCCCATCAGCCATGTGTCACCCACGAGGGACTCACCATTCTGAGAGCTGGGACCTGGGCGGCGGGACCTGAGAGGCGCCGGACCCAAGGCTGGAGGGTGAAATGGGGTCAGGCTGCGGGGACGCTGTGAGCAGAGAGGAGTCCGGGAGGCACGGGGACGCCCATCTCGGTCTGTGGGGCTCAAGGAGCCTCAGACACACCCCTCACAGCAGGCGCGCTACCTCCCAGGCCTCCTCCTCCTCACGACCAGTGCCCTGAAGCCTGGGAGTCAATGAACAGGGAACTAAGAAGTTAAAATGTCCGCCAGGAGGAGGAAGGCGGAAGTCCCGCCCTAACCAGATGTGTAGAAACCAAAATGCCCTTTAGCTCCTCCCGCATGAATGCAGTGCCTTCTGGGTAATGTAGTTTTATCAACTGCCCAGTGTAGTCCTAGCATCCAAGCCAATGACTTAGGGCAGTGGTTCTCAACCTTGGCTGCACATTAGAATCACCTGAGAATCTTTTTAAAATCCTGATTTCTGGGCCTCATCCTCCGGAAATTCTGTTTCTTTGTTACGGGGTGGGCCACAACCAGTAGTAAGAAAGAAACAGAATTTCTGGAGGATGAGGCCCAGAAATCAGGATTTTAAAAAGATTCTCAGGTGATTCTAATGTGCAGCCAAAGTTGAGAACCACTGACTTAGGGGAATAAAGGTGATGTGGCCCAGCAAGTGACGCCTGGGGAGGGACTAGATGGGACCAGAGGCCTGGCTAACTGGATCAGACTGACAGATCTCTGAGGGGAAGGAGGTGGGAGGAATGCAAGAGATCCAACAAAGAATATATAGAGAGGGGGGAAATGGGAGACATCAATAATACTATCAACAATGAAAATATATGTATTTTTGAAAATTTTAAAATAATGCAGCCCAGCTGGTGTAGCTCCATGGTTGAGCCTCGACCTAGAATCAGGAGGACATGGTTCTTTTTATTTTATTCTATTTTATTCTTATTTTTAAAATAATTTATTTTGTAAAGTATTACATATAACTCCTTTTTCCCCCATTGAGTTCTGCCCAGCCACCCCCACGCCTCAGCACATGCCCTTAGCCCCCTTAGTGTCTGTGTCCATTGGTTATATAGGTCCTTTGGTTGAACCCCTTAACCCTTCCCTCCCCTGACTTCCCTCTGAAGAAGTTTGACAGTCTGTTTGACATTTATGTTTCTGAATCTATATTTGTTCATCGATTTATGCTGTTCATTATATTGCACCAATGATGAGGTCGTGTGATACTGGTTCTTTTTCTGGTCAGGGCACATAAATGGGTTGAAGGCTTAATTTCCAGTTGTGGGTGGAGTCATGCACGAGACAACTAATTAGCGATTCTCCCTCATCATTGATTTTTTATCTCGCCCTCTCCCTCCCACACTCTAAAATCGACAAAAATATTTTAAACAAAGTATTTACATATATGCATACGCCATGGACTTATACGGTAATGTGGTGAGGGACTAGACACAGTGGGGGCAGGGTAGAGAGAGAAAAAGTGGAGGATTAAGGGGGGAAATGGGAACATCTGTAATAAAGTCAACAATAAAAAAAATAATAGTGTACACAGCCAGTGGGTCTGAGTGGTTGGGCGTGTACCCATCAACCAACATACCATTGGTTTGATTCCAGGTCAAGGCACATACCCAGGTTAGGGGCTCCATCCCAGTAGGGGAAATACTGGGGTCAGCTGGTCAATGATTCTCTCTCATCATTGATGTTTCTTCCTCTCCCTTTCTCTCTAAAAATCAAAGAAAAGTTTTCCATGCTTCTCTGTCTCTGAATCTGTTTTTGTTCATCGGTTTATGTTGTTCATTATATTCCACAAATGAGTGAGATCATGTGATATTTTATCTTTCTTTGACTGACTTATTTCACTTAGCATAATACATGCTGCTGCAAATGGTAGGAGTTCCTTCCTTTTTATAGCAGCAGAGTATTCCATTGTGTAGATGTACCAAAGTTTTTTAATTCACTCATCTGCTGATGGGCACTTAGGCTGATTCCAAATCTTAGCTATTATTAATTATACTGCTATGAACATAGGGGTTCATATATCCTTTCTGATTGGTGTTTCTGGTTTCTTGGGATATATTTGTAGAAGCAGGTCACTGGGTCAAATGGGAGTACCATTTTTAGTTTTTTGAGGAAACACCATACTGTTCACAGTGGCTGCACCACTCTGCATTCCCACCAGCAGTTCACGAGTGTTCCTTTTGCTGTGCATCCTTGAGAGCACTTGTCATTTCTTGATTTGTTGATAATAGCCATTCTGACAGGTGTGAGATGGTACCTCATTGTTGTTTCAGTTTGCATAACTTGGATGATTAGTGACGTTGAGCATGTTTTCATATGTATCTTGGCCTTCCTAATGTCTTCTTTCGAAAAAGTATCTATTTAGGTCCATTGCCCATTTCTTGATTGTATTGTTTTCCTTCCTTTTGTTAAGTTGTATGAATTCCCTGTAAATGTTGGAGATTAAATCCTTATCGGAAATAACATTAGCAAATATCTTCTCCCATGCAGTGGGCTTTCTGAACATAGCCCTTGTGTCCTACATTCCACTAGTTACGAGTCAGCAGGCCAGACCTTATCTGATATCATCCAGTATATTCACCTTGTGAAATAACAAGATCCTCGCCAGCACCAAAGTCTCTACACATACATAAAACCTAAATATTCCCAGTGTTAATTGCATACGACAGGAGTGAGCAGGTCTCACTTCCCAACTGGACCTTGGACAATGCTCCATTCCTCCTCCTCCAGCTCAGCATGCGCTTCAGAATGAGTGCTGTTAGATGTGAAGCAGACAGAGATGTGCGGTGGTCTTTTTCCAAGGAGACAGGTGGCTGCTGGCCGAGGCAGTCCACCTTGACTTAGAAGACGAGAGGGTGTGCTTACAGGGGAGGCTCCAGTGCTGTGGCAGGTTGCTCTTTGCTGCATCCACCAGTCTGTGTGGCTGTGTATCAGTACTGTACACTCAGACTGGTTTTTAAAGTGTATGCCCTGTGGGCATGTGCATCCAACCATGTGTATATTGATGCGTTGATTTGAAAGTACTGACTCCTTCAGCATAAACACTGCAGCTTGTTGAAAAGAAAGATCCCTGAGAGTGACTTGCTGACGATTGTCAGGTGTTTGCAAGAATGTTTGGTCTGTTTCATTTGTGCAGGTTAGAGCTCCCTTTCTGGAGGCTGCAGTGAGGAAGTTTGATGATGTCTTTAAAAAGGGAAGTGGGGGCAAAGAGTGTGACAACCTGTTCACCATCATTGCCCATTTGTATGAATCCACCTGGTACAGTCTCTCCTCATATTCGACATTTTGAAAAATCTTACTGGAAATTTCACAGAGAAAGATATGGAGCTGATCCTATTAATGCTGAAAAATGTGGGCTTTTCATTGAGAAAAGATGATGTTTTGTCACTAAAAGTGACCACAGAGACCCAGGCCAAAGCCAGTGGGCCATGCAGCAAGTTCCAGGACAAGATCAGGTACGATGGGTCACTCGACCTGCCTCCTAAGTGCCAAAACCCAGAAGCTGGCCAGCACATAGAAATAAGTGCGGTAAATGCTATGTTTCATTTCCTAGTAATCTGGTATCTTCTGCTTCTGTGATTTGATTTTTTAATCTTTAAAACTGGAGTCCCGATACAAGGATTTGGTTCTCCAACATCCCCCAAGGGGTCCCAGATTGAGAGAGGTTGCAGTCCAGGCTGAGGGACCCCACTGGTGCACGACTGGGGCCGGGGAGGGACCATGGGAGGGCTCCAGGGTCTGTCTGGCCCATCTCACCCAGTCTTAATCAGCCAGACCCCAGCAGCAAGCTAACCTACTAGTCAGAGCATCTGCCCCCTGGTGGTCACCCAGTCACGATGATGAGCACCCTCTGAGGGCTGCCTGCTGCGAGGCAGGACCTAGCTGCCAGATCATTCTTTTTATAATCTTTTTTTAAAAATCCTTACCCCATGATAATTTTTCCATTGACTTGTAGAGAGTGTGAAAGGGACGGAAGGAGAAGGGGAGACAGAGAGAAACATCTATGTGAGAGGGTCACATGTATTGGATATCTACAGCACACACCCAAGCTACACGGGGGAGCCAACCGGCAACCCAGGTCTGCTCCCTTGAATGAGACTTGAACCCATGACCCTTCTGTACATGGGTGATTCTGTAACTACTGAGCCATACCTGCCAGCACCTTTAGTTTATGCTTTCTCCCCACTATCTGAGAAGCTAGATACCTGAATGTTGACGTGACACTTAAAGATTTTTAAATATTGTTGTGCTAATTTATTTAAATGGAAAAAGACAGATGATGTGGGCCAAACAGGGCACATCTGTGTTCAAATTGAGTCCATGAGCCTCTGGTCATGTGAGCTTTCTGGTATAAATCTGCCCTCTGATACTCAATCGGGCAGTTAAGATGATGATGATGGCGATTTCAGTGGATTTACATAATACTCCCCAATCTCATATTTTATTTGTCTCAGGAGATGAAATTAGAAAGGGCTTGGAATTGGGGAGATGGCTGGGCATAGACATACAAATTGACAGCAAAAATGTTCTGATTCCATGTATTTCAAAAGTATTTCAGTCAAAGAACCCTTTGTTCCAAGTCAGCAGGTCTGCCAAAGCCTTCCATGGGAAGGATTCTCACAGGGTGCTCTGCTGAAGTGGTGTCCGAGCCTGCCTGTCCTGTCTCCCCCAGCCCACAGTGGGCAGCTGCGCTAGCCTTCTAGAACCCCAATGGACACAGTTTGAAAACCACTGAGTTTGTTCGACCCTCATTTCCACACAGGAAAAATGGAGGCCCAGAGAGGTTGTGGTTTTGATTAAGGTGCACACCTGGGTCAGAGGCTAGGAGTGCTCCTCAGCCCTTGGCCCTGTGGCTCTCCACCCCCAGAGTCAACTTCTGGAACCAGCTGATGATGGCAGAGCAGAAGGAGCTGCACACCCAGAGAAAAGAGATGCAAAGCTCCCTAGAGGTCCTGCAGCAGGAAGTGATGCTCTCG